TTGAACAACGTTTACATATTATTGTTTTATTTTATTTATAACTTTCATTATTATTATTGTTGTTTTATATTTTATTTTTATTTATTTATAATAATAATAATGTCCCTAAAATGTTATTTTTCTTTCATCCGCTTCCAATTGTTGTCAGCTAACACAACTGCGTCTACAGCCTGGAAAATCTGCATTTTCGTGCTTACAACTCTCAAGTTGTTCTTCCCGCTTGTGTGGTATAGTCGAAAACTGTATTCTTATTTTCTTTGATAATATCTCGTATTTACTGATAACATCTATTTACTTAACCCATTTGAACACTACCCAATATATCAGTGTTCCAATTCTAATGTGGCTGCTTTTTATTCCTTCTGAGACATTTTGTATTCATTTATGATGTGATTCATTATTTCGTCTCTTTATCTACAAGAATTACTGTCCTTATTTTCGGCTTATTTGTATAGCTATTAAATCAAAATGTTCAGAATGCTAGTAATATTAATAATATGAAGAATAAGTAAACATTTTTAGAGAGTAAAGAAAGTTAGTTTGGCGAAATTAATGTTTTCGATAAAAAAAAAAAGGAAAGAACGATAAAACCGAAATAATATTTTAAAGAATGCATGACAGAGTAGGATCAGCGATGTACTGAGAATTGGTCAAATAAATTAAATTCACTATATAAAGAAATGTTATATATCATCTAATAAAATAATAAGATATTCTGACATATTAAGGTCGATATAGATTATCTGATTCATGCAAAAAGTCCCACATACAAGAATATGAGTAGGGGCACTTCTTGATAAAAAGAATCAAACTTACTTCTAAATTCATTTTTAAGCTAAGCATTAAACAATTATATATATATATATATATATATATATATATATATATATATATATATATATATATATATATCGATAGAGAGAGAGTTTTTTTCCGATTGCTTGTTTTCGTGATCAAGTAGCATTACTACTAACCGAGACCAGACACTGTTATAGGGTAGTAATGTTGGGTCCAGTCAGATGCTATATCTCCTCCATCTTAGGTCTTAATAAAAAGGGTGCGATGGACAAATTGTCGTCCAATTTACTGAAAAATGGAAATAATACTGATATCTCATTTTAACAAATATATTTACCGAAATTACACCAAAAATATCTTCAAATAGTAAAGAGTAAATTTATTCAATAAAATTGCCATTGGTTTCAACTAAAGACTCCGGACAACTTCGGAATCTTCTGCAACTCTTCTGAGTGGTCTTCTTGTTTAAATTGGTGAATGCTTCCATGAACCAGTTCAGTTCATCTTTGGTGTTACAAGGATTTTTTGTTGGTCTCTCGCTCAACTGCGCCCCACAAATGATACGGGTTAAAGTCTTGGGTATTAGGGGGCCAGATGTAAAGGGTGATGTGTTCGTAGAAATTGTCTGACAGTTTGACTGGGTATTCCTGTTTGTGTGGCATGGTGCATAGTCCTATTGCTAGACATGGGGTCTACTAACGGCCACCTTCTTGACTCAGGGCAGCACTTTCTCCTCAAGGCACTTGATGTAGGCGTACGTGTTGAGTCTGAGGCCCTAAACAAGAAATTCGGGAGTTATTTTCCTATCAGAATGATCAGAGTGAGTTTTCTGAGCTGCCGTATCTTTGTAATCACTATTAGACTCATCCAACTCTTTCCGAAGCTTTTGCACTGTCTTCTGAAATGTTCGTTTTCGAGCTTCCGGTGAGAATCTCAAGCAGTACATCATGGCGTATCCAAATCTCTGGCGGAATGAATTGCATCATGGTGCTCTTTTTCTCACAGACAACGCTAACTGACCCTACTATACTGTACAGTCAAAACAATAAAAAACAATACACATGAGCGAAATTAAAAATATAAATGGCAACAATTTACCCATCGAACCCAGTATTTTCTCTTTTCTGTTGGTCATAATTCGAAATTATTTACTTATACAGAGGGGCTTGCAGTAAAACACGCTATCCAACTACACTAGGAAATACATTGGTTATCTAATATATTTATATATATTTTACTCTTCCAGTTTACGTTGATATGGCCAGTAAAACCAGCTCTTATGGAAAATAATAGCAGAACATCCAACAAATACTTCAGCTGTAAAAGACACTATATAATTTACCATATACAATGTTACACCGTATATGACTCATAAATTCATATAATGAGAACATGTTACTTTATTTTAATTATGCAATAACTTTTCAATCGTCCCATTTGAAGTAAAACTTTCAGGCATGTGGACTCCAAAAATAATATCGATATTTCTAGCAATATCTATATATATATATATATATATGTGTGTGTGTGTGTGTGTGTGTGTGTGTGTGTGTGTAAGAATACATAAATTCTTTATATCGGACGAATGGTGGAAATTCAATGGCAAAATGAAAAATTCCTATGAGACGAGTTTAAGGACATCATCAGATAAAATATAGTTTTTTATTTATATATTCATATATATGTAAGGTGAAGGAATGAAATACAAACAAACGTCGATAATTATACATCGAGAGAGAAACGCCAAGCTTTTAAGTTTCAATTTCTTGCATTCGATATGTCTAGTCGATCTCATTTAGATTCCTAGCGCTTTTGTTCTGGCTTTTATCGTTGTTGTTTTTAGATTTCCAACATTGAAGTAATTTTATTTAAAAAAAGGTGATATGCCGCATGCAGCAAGGACGTAAAGAGAAAGACACTGAAATACTTTTAAACACCAACTATATCCTAATTATTCTATATATAATAATAATCGCAAACCTTATTATATTGATAAAAAAGAAGAAAATAAATAACAGAAATAATATTGATAAAACTAGACACTTAATTCTACCAACTGTATAACAAACTAGAATTGACTACAATGACCAAGCCACCAAATTTTATTGTGGAATCCATTCTTGTCCAGGTTGAGTATTTTTCAGCATATGCGTGCACACACACGTACAGACACAACACGCATTAATATATATATATATATATATATATATATATATATATATATATATATATATATATATATATATATATATATAAGTATCGAGCACTATTTTTAAAATAATAACTAAAAATACTAAGGGACTTTTGTATTATTTACCTAACAGGTTCCTTCCTATTTTCTATATATTTTCACATATTATTGGCTCCCTAATTAAGGTTGAGCACTAAAACCTTTATTTTAAAATACTCCTTTAAAAATATGGAAAAAATTAATTTCGGATTTCTCTCAAAAATATTCCACTAACAAACAAACGGAATTATTTTTTTGTTAAGCTTTTACAAAAAACAGAGGAATTAATTAGAAGGATGAGATGGAAGGCATACTTCTATGCGATTTGGAATCATATTTTTTTATATTTTAAATATATATATATATATATATATATATATATATATATATATATATATATATCCCAAATACACTTTGTCCATTGTTCTTTTTTTAAATAATTTATAATAATTTATTTATTTTATTTTTAAATAATTTATTTTATTAACCTCGATTTGGCTCTATTGAGCGAGGTTCGAAACCAGTTAATAACCGTTTTTTTTTTTTTTACTTTTTATTATTATGAGTGGTAATAATAAAACTAATTTTTGTCTGTTTATGGCAGTGATAAAATTTTGTACCACTAAAAATATATATATATATATATATATATATATATATATATATATATATATATATATATATATATATATATATATATATATATATATATATATATATTTATATATATATATATATATATATATAGTGTGTGCGTAAAAATATAAGTGTATATGTGTGTGTATATATGGGTATTTATACATGTTTATATATATGTATATGTGGATGTATTTGCGTATGTCTTCGTATATGTATATGTATGTATATCTTAGTGTCTTGCGTATATATCTATTTTTCTATCTATGTCTATCTGTTTTAATGTCCTTTCCTTCCCTAATGTTTATTTTTATGTTCTGCCCATATTGATCTTTTCTATTCTATCATTTTTATTTATGTATATTTGCCCGTATAAGTTATATTTTAGTAAGTGGTTGGAATTCGTTTAATAACACTTTCAAACTTGAATATTTCTTGGTTGGTGTATCGGAATGTCTTTGTCAATTTGTGTGTGTATGTACAAAAAATTATCGGTTAAACTTTGTATAGTCCCTTGTGTGTACTTTTGGCTGTGTATGTTTTTGGGGGTTTATTTTTTAAAGGGTCATGGAGATATTAGCTGTCTCCATCACTTTTTTGTGTGTATATATATCTAAATACATCCCTGTGTTTATGTATTATAATCTGATTATGTATTGTTGTTTGCAAGATGTCATCCCCCAACCTCTGTTTATGCTTTAAATGTATCTATGTTGTCAAAAAGTTCAGAGCAACATTTGATCTTAACGTTTATTCCAACGTAATTTCAATAGAAACAAAATAAATAGAATAATATGTATTTTCTTTTTTCTCAGTAATTTTATAATTTTAAACTTAATACAGATTAAATTTAAATTTTAAAATGGGTAATATTTAATTTTCAATTTCAAATTTTATCGTATAATTTAATATTTATTAGTTAGAATAAATTCTATTTTAGTCTAAACCCAACATTAAATATTAAATAATTATTATAACCAAGGTTCGTTGTCAAGTTTTTTGAATTCTCATATACTTGTATTTTGATTGGCCATTCCAACTTATGTAACAGCGTTTCCCCTAGTGAGGTGTGTTTGATTGTTTTGAACCTTTTAAAACCCTTTATTCTACATTCAACACCATCATTTGATACAAAATGTCTATCTCTGTAGTGATTTTATAACATATTTATGTTATAATTTTCGAATAAATAATTATATATATATATATATATATATATATATATATATATGGTCATATTTCAATATGATTGTCCAACTGAATGGCACTGATAAATTATCTTGATGTTTGAATATGGGAATCTTTTCACCAAACATCTGAGTATGTCTCGTTTGACATTCGAGACACGCGCACAAGTGCAATGCAAGGTCGCGTAAGCCAATATGACGGTGGTGTAATCACGTGATCAAACCAAAAGCATTTCAATGGCGCCCTTCGAAGAGTTACGATATCTCAGAAGGTGTCATTGCCAGTTTTGCCTATCTGAATGTCGCAATCATTTCTGGTAATTGATGACGATTTTCATTGCATCGCTCCGTTTGAGTAAAGTGAAGAGACTATCATAAAAAAGACACGGAGGTAATGGTGGATTTATATGCATACGTTGTGACGTTATGAAGTGTGAATAATAAGAGTATTTAGGTATATATATATATATATATATATATATATATATATATGTGTGTGTGTGTGTGTGTGTGTGTGTGTGGGTGTGTGTGTGTGTGCGTGTGTGTCTGTATTTTTCTACCAAAACCAAGGCAATAAAGCCACTAAGAGGCATTGAGGTTACCGAGTGTGAAAGAATACGAGAAAAAGAAAACATTATTAACGAGATAGAACAATAAATGAACAGAAAGTAAGACGACAAAATATAATGCATTTAAATGTTTGAAGTTCAAAGTTGACTGAAAGACAAGAAGCCGTAAGAGAGCTCTACAAGCGAGGAGTGCGAAAGCACTTACGGTCATATCTAGCCATTTCAACTTGATAAGACCTAGCTGCCAGTCTAGTACAGTGCTTGAATTCGAAGATTCAAGGTAGCAAAAGAAAATCTGGTCAGAACAATTACCATGAAAATATTTATAGAACAGACACAGCAGTGGGAAATTGACTGAACCGGATATGCCAGATCCGGGCCTATAACATAGCATTTAGCCTTTATATATTTAATATTATTATTATCAATAATTTCCTTATTGCTGAAGTGGGTAGATAATCTAATTTGAACTGATTTCTGTAAATTCTCTATAATTTTATGAGGGTAGTTTCAGTCTTTACTGACGTATCTATGATTATATAAATCTTTTATATATGTTTTGTTATGACCATTATTCAAATCTACGGTCACATCGAGATAGTTGATCATTTTAGTATTGGTGTAGTCGTAATATCTAGTTCGTTACGCCGTTATCTCTATAGAGTCTGGTGCCCTTAATGTCGAAAATAGATCTTAGTCGCCACAATAACAAGATTCCAACTATTTTGCATGCGCCTCTGTTGAATATTAAACATAACAATATTAAATCCTGGCTTATTTGGTTCACAGATTACCATTACGGAATAATATAGGTTTTGCCTACTTTATGATATTTATCTCGCCAATAGGACAGTAATTTTTTGCTAGATTTTTAGTAGACAGCAGATTCTCGGCAATGGACGGGTAAAAGTCACAAATATCGAATTGGATGAATGTACATTCATTCTTCCTTTTTATATTAATAAACCATTCTATGACTCCTGCTGTTTTATGTTACTGGTTAATTCCTAGAGCATTTTCGTGTATTTGCATGCACTTTCAAGGGTATTTTTGCTGATTTTACCGATATTATCTTTAGTTGGATCGAGTAATCGGTATTGAGGTTTGTTATGTAAATTTACCTTATGATTTTTAACTGTGATGGATGCTTGTTGCTTGTGAAATTTATAGATCAATTCAGTTCAGTGTATATTTTCTTGGCTTCACTATTGATGGTATTTTCTCAGTTGTTGAGTATCTTTTATGAAACTTATTCACTTCCTTGTTAATAGTTTATGGTACATATCCACATCGATTTTGTAATGGTCATCCATCTTATCTGGTTTGATAATTATTTTGTAGGACTTTTTTTTATCATAGAAACATCCTTTAGCAATATTTGCTGTAGATCGTTGGTAGTTTTAGCAAATTTAATTCTCTCTAATACCGAGAATACATTTTTCCGAAGTCCAATAACAGATCGTCGCATGGTGGTTTTTTTGTTTGTTTTTTTTTTTTTTTTTTTTTTTTGGTGACGGGGGAATTAAATCCATAAAGTTCAGCATCTTTTAAGCTATTAAACTAGTTCTTGTGTTTAAAGAAGAACAGTTTCGGACACATTCTTTTTATGACACTCTCGATCTTTTGTAAAAAGGATCAGCATATACGATCTTTTGTAAGGAACCATGAGGTTTTTAGTGGAGTAGTCCAAGTTAATTGGTTCCATATTCCGATAACGGTTAGGATACGAAGTAAACTATAAGAAAAATAACAGTGATTGACAAAAAGGAGCCACATGTAAATATATCACAAGATGTCGAGTAAATGCTCCCGATCCCGCAAACGAACGAGAAGAATAAAAGTAATAGAACTTACCTTAAGTTGCGAAATATTTTGACCATTTTCCGCAACATGATAACCGTCTGATAACATGGAAGGTAAATTTAATAATAGCGATTTTCTAAGCTCGGCTTAGATGTGGCACAAGGCCGAAAGTATGGGTTACCCAGTGAGGATCGAACTCACTACTCAGTCGTAATTGATCTAGCAAAACAATCTTCCTGACCATTACACCACGTCGAGGTACCCATAAGCGTAGCTTAGATGTGGCACATGGCCGAAAGTGTGGAGCACCCAGTGAGGATCGAACTCACTATTCAGTCATAATAGATCTAGCGAAGCAAGCTTGCTAATCATTACACCACGTCGAAGTGCTCGGTAAATTTAATAATAAAAGAAGAGATAGATTTTCTTTCTTTTTATGCAACTTCAGGGAGCACATGGTAATACTGTCACGTGACCAATATTACTATAAAGGATTAGTAGAGAAAATAACAAGCTTTTGTTTAGTAAACATTTCAACAATGTAAGTACACTGCTCCTTTCCCGCCTATAGTGGTGGTGTTAATAACACACACACACACTTTTATATATATATGTGTGTGTGTGTGTGTGTGTGTGTGTGTGAAAAGTATATATATATTGAAGAAAAACAAATATATATATATATATATATATATATAATATATTTATAGAATGGATCGACAATCAGGGTCATGTAATGCTTTTGAACTGTCCATCAACCTTGACAGGACAGAGGTGATGTATCAACCTGCTCAAGTAATTCAGTATATAGAGCCATCAGATTATGTTGATGGTACTTGACTTGGGGTAGTAGACAAATTTGTATACTTGTTAGCAACATCAACCGCCACTACTCTCTCGACGATGAGATAGAGTTACGGATTAAGAAGGCCTCCTCCGATGCATTTGCAGCACTCAAGGTCCGTGTTTGGAATCAGAAAGATATAGAAAGCAGACAAAAATTAAAATATATAATGCCTGCGTTATATCATCTCTACTAAATTCATGTGTAGTCTATCGCAAACATCTGAAGATACTGGAACGGTTTCATCAACGCTGCCTTTGGTCTGTAGTTAAAATCCACTGGATGTCTCACACCCCTGATATTGTTGTTCTACAAAGGGCCAATTAACTCTCTGTGGAAACACTTATACACAAGCACAGATTGAGATGGATGGGCCATGTTGTCCGTGTGGCTGATGACAAAATTCCTAAACAAATAATGTATAAAGAATTGGAAATGGAAAATGACTGCAGCACAAACTCCGTTACAAAGATTGATTTAAAGAGTCACTATACAAGTGAAATATTGATCTGGATGACTCTAGCTGAAGAGCGGGTTTCTTGAAGAGCTGGTATTGCTGACGGCGTCAATATCTTCCATGGGCATCACAAAAATATGCTGAAAAGAGGGTTTCGGAAGGGATCCCTGAATTGCCATGAGATGCCAACCATGTACCCAATGCAATCGGATATGTCTGTCCAGTGTTGGTCTGCTCATTCACCAGCGGTCATACCAACACCAACAGTTTATTGTGTATAACGATTTCGTAATGGCATGCTTTCAATGCTTGACCTGCATTAAGTTGTGCAAGACCATTTCGGACCTGACAAGGCATATAAATGGGTACATTGGAAGTGATGATAATCAAAGTCAACATCCACCACCCGGAGATGATTTTACATGGCATATATGTAACAAGAAATGCAGATTGAGGGCTGGCTTTAGGTACCCACGGAGGAGGCACTCTCAGTAGGGAAGGGAGATCACCGCCCTCTGTGGGATCATGTTGAGATCATAGACAAGGAACACCATTGGAAAATTCATAAACTTAAGGAATCAGCACATATGCTAGGTCACAAAAATCTCCTGAGCCGACCAAGCATAGAAATAAATACAATATGGGAACCAGTAATAAGGAGTGCCAGATAAAAGCAATAATATCAACAAAGTTGCAATATGAGCTCTGGTAAAAACATGCAATGATAACAGCAAAATTGCAATATGAGCACTGGTAAAAAATGATGCTGAAGGTTTATAATACCCAGAAATACATACAGAGATGGTTTATAATACCCAGAAATTCATACCCAGATGTCCTCAAGGACACATGGCACAGTGGATAAAGGCGTTGGTTAGATCCAGTGACAGGACCCAAAGAGTGTGAGTTCAATACCCGGTTAAGTGGAGAACTTTCAGAGGGAAATTAGCAGGGGATAACTGAACTAGAACAGTCTACCCCAGTGAGCGAAATAAAGGGTTCGGTTCGAAATTCCAACCACCTGAAGAAGGCCGGAGCGTACAACGGCCGAAACGTTGTGATAAATATGGCAACAAAGATGAGGACAATAGTCCGAATAATATAAATATATATATATATATATATATATATATATATATATATATTCGAACAAAAATAAATAAATAATACAGTTATAAACCTAACCTTCCATAATTAATTCCCTAATATAACACCAAGCCAGGTAAAAATAAGTCGTTAATTACTGAATAAGAAAAACGAATGGGCGCGCGAAGACGTAAAGAATTATCCCCTTTGCCATTTAAGTATTAATTTTAAAAAATTATTTATACAAGAAATAAATTTATAATAATAGATATTTGAACAAGAAAATAAATTTAAAAAAAAAACGGAATCCATCTATATTTATAAAGAACTTTAGAAAACCGCAGATTTTTCCGGAAACTTAGGAGAAATAAAAGTCGATTCTGAGACCTGATTGCTGCATCATATTTTGACACACAAAAAGAAAACTGACCAATGGGAGAATATAAGAAAACAAGACAATTATGAGAAGAAATAACCACCACATTTTTACACATGTGATTATGTACTCACGTTCACACACACATACATATACACACACGCGCTCACATAAAGAATGAAAATCAACCTAACACCAATAAAAAACATATAAATTATTTTTTGACTTAATATGAAAATAAAATAAAGACAAAAGACAATTGCACGAAACTCTGGAATAGAGGTACTTAATATAACATTACTCAGCTGAGAAATATTATATATGTATTAATTATATATTATATATATATATATATATATATATATATATATATATATATATATATATATATATATATATATATATATATATATATATATATATTTATATATGCACAGGGTAATATATATAAACGTGTGCGTGTAATACCGGTTTGGATATGTTTATATGGAATTGTCCCGATGCATATACTTATAATTAAATATATTATTTTTTTACTTAAAACTCTCCTTTTACAACACACAAAGACATATCCATACATACACGTGAACACCTACGCATACACACAAATATATATATATATATATATATATATATATATATATAAGGCGTATGAAATAATTCTGCTCCTGTTCGTACGCTTTTGTTTGTCTACAGTTCTATGTAAATTTACTTGTGTATACATATGCATATACGTTATTACTTATGTGCGTTTTGTGTCAATCGCACCAACAATAACAAACTGTCTTTGAAAAATCAAACCGGAATAATTTTATTAGAAGCGTTGCTTATCACCAGAAAGAATTCTCTGCTGGCCACAAATCTAACCAAATATGCAGACATGATCGGAATTCGCCGAATATACCGAGAAAGACAGGAATGAAAAAAATACTCAAGACAGAAGGAGAATCGGCCGGGATTTCAAAGAAATGTATAACACTGAGAAGACTAACCAGATAAGGGAATTGGAATATCTGTTTAAAACTAAATGAAAATAATAAGAAAGAAAAATACGCAATATTGCTACTTATTCATGTGTCCATTTTGTTAGCATTTAATCTTAGTGTGAAGAGGAGATAACTGAACGAATGAATGAACTAATGGAAAGGAAAAAGCAAAAATTGGAATCGATCGACATGACTAGTAGGTTTTTGTGCATGGAGCTCTGGCTTTTCGGCCAAGCCACCATTGTTGAACAAATTGTGCAGAGAATGCTGATGAATTGTTCCAACGGTTTCCGTCGCTCCGACTTGTCACCTTTTACTGATTTGGTACTCTGTTTGGCGTCCTGGTCAAAAGCAATGAGATCTCGTTGAATCTCCCCTGCACACGTGTGATTAAAACACGAACGATTTTCAAAAACCTATCCTTGTGCTATTTCCGTTATCTTTTCTTACTTTTTCCTTAATTCTTGCAAATAATTTTTTTTTCCTCATTGTATTTCGTGGAATCTCGTGATAATATTGTGGTTATTAGATGTCATCGATGGAAATAGAATTGATATATGTAATGTAGATATATCTTATTAAACCATTTTAGATAGATAGATAGATAGATAGATAGATAGATAGATAGATAGATAGATAGATAGATAGATAGATCTTTGGACAGGCAACCACTCAATGTGAACGTCTTAAAAGTTTTATACAAAGCTAAAGAAGCAAAAATAGAAAATGGCCACAGTGAAATCATAGGAATGAGAAATAAACATATAAATATCTGACAAATAAGAACTTCGAAAATCTCAACAGCTCTGAGATTAACTCAATCCATAAAATTCCTGAACGTAAAAATATCATTAAGGTTTTACTCATTCCAAATTATCATCATGTTTGGGTCTTTTAAAACATCCAGACACGGTTCCTTAAGGACTTTTAGTATCATCATACATCTATTTATATGTTTCGTCTTTTTCCACAATTTCCCATTTACTTAGAAGTACGGGCTCGTTTCCAAATATACCTATTCGGAACGTGCTAATTATAAATTCCCTATGAGATTATGACCAAACCTACCATCTGACCAATGGAAGTAGTAAGTTGTACTCCGATGTAAAAATATATATCTTTGCATTCATATATATATATATATATATATATATATATATATATATATTGAGGTTCTTACATGTCAGTTTTTTTTACGTTTATTTCTTATTCATATGATTTCACTTCAACCATCCCCTATATTTGCTGCTTCAGTTCTGTATAATCTTTTAAACCCTTCACATCTATCTATCTATCTATCTATCTATCTATCTATCTATCTATCTGATTAGGTTCATTATCTATTCATCTATCTATCTATCTATCTATCTATCTATCTATCTATATAGATGATTCAATAAGGAATATCTTCCTTAGATATATCAATTCTACTCACCTTATTGCATCGATGTCATCTAATAACTAAAATATTATCACGAAATTCAATGAAATACAACGAGGAGCAGAGGAAGAGGGTGTTTTTAAGTTTTTACTTTGGCGGTGATCATATTGCAGAATTTCTTTTTTTTTGTGAAAACGCCATATTTGAAAAGAAGATAAACTGACATAACACAAACACACAATGCATATATATATAGTCACATAATAATGATGGCTTATGAAAAGGAAAATACACAGGCATTGGAGAATTTAAATTCAAATTTTTACATGAAACAAGGACAAATGATCCTAAATACAGAAAAACTCTAACACAGAATTTCCGTTGGTTCTTTGACGATGACCAGTGATTAAATGCAAAAATGAAAGTTTTTGTTCCCATTAATGAGATATTATTTATATCTAACACAAAAGAAAACTTTTTAGTGTAACAAAATCGATTTTTCTTTTGTGTGGAGGAAAATTTGATTTGTATTTGAGCTATTTTCGAACTTCCAGATATTTCTATTCTGTAGTTGAAGAAATGGTGAAATGTTGTGATCTTAGCTGACTTGCAACCAACAAGTCTCAGGTGTCATTCAATATTGCTTGACTGCGATCGTAAACCTTTCTCCCTGGCCTTTCTTTATATTTACATGAGCTTAAGTTTGTTTGCTATAAACTAGTTCTTTTGTTTTTCACCATTTGTCATTCTTGCTGTCAGCTTTCCCAGTTGCATGATTGGCGTTTTACCAGGCATCAGGTTTTAATCATGCAGCAACATCTTTTTTATCCTATAAGTTTGTCAATTTCTTCCTCACCTCTTTTCTTTTTTACTGTCGTGTCATACTGGCTTCAGATTGCGTCCTCGAGGTGTTTTTCAAGGGAATGCACTACATTTTACCCTTATAATATTGTCATATATATATATATATATATATATATATATATATATATATATATGGATAGAAGTGTAAAAAGAAGACTGAAACAGCCGCGACTAAAAAGTATAAAGTGTTCAATATAAAATTCAAAGTCGTATATGTAGAGCTAAGATATTTAAGGCAACTTGCCTGAGTAGATCTTACGGTCGAAACCCGTGTTGCAGGTTGGTTGGCATTTTAGCCTTTTCCCATATATATATATATATATATATATATATATATATATATATATATATATATATACTAAACCACTACAACATATTTCTTTTATATATATATATATATACTAAAACATGATTTATTGATATCGAACAGCCAGTTCTGTCTGTTTCATTTTTTTTTAATTTTCTCCGTTTGCTGTTGTACATGTGGATCAAATTTATAAAGAAACTTTCATGATGATTTTTTTCGGAGGCTTCCAGCCATTACAGGCCCTTATCAAGATATCATGAGTTACACAAAAGAAATGTTTTAAGTAAATTCATCCTGGTCTTTTTTGGAAACGATAATTTTAATTTAAATGTATGTGAAACGATTGCAACAGACGTAGAACGATTTCTAATTCTACGCCCTGTAATAAAATATATACATTTTTAAAGATTATTCCATTAACCATTTAATCTATAGATTATAAAAAACAAGATATTATTTGTTTTAGACTTAAATACATTTAAAAATCAATTTTTTCAAATGTATTATGATCAATGTAGTTGGTTTCTTTTGTCTTAAAATAACATCAAGTGTTTCGAGTCTTCCTCTGTTATTAGAGTTTTTTAGCATTTTAAAAGCAAAAAAGAAAATTCAGAAAACTGCTACAAGAATAAAATATCTGCGAAAAACTGAATTAAATCTAACAGCATAGACATTGTATTGAAATGGGGAGAAAACCAAAAATCAGGATGCCATCATACAATCCTATCCAAAACCGAATGTACGCCCTGGTCTAAAAAAAATACTTCACTTCAACGATCATTTCAGCCGTGAGCACACAAAGCTGAAAATGCCCGCGAAATTCGAAGATATACGCATATTAATCAGAACATTACAATGTCTCTCTCCAATGCTAAACAATAACGAACCTAATGATGAGGAAGTAAAGAAAGCTATAAATAAGCTAAAAAATAATAATGCATCACATTGAGGCTGGACATTAGAAAATAGCGTAGCAGAATTTAAGAACAACTTTTTAAATTTCATAAAGGAATTCTGAAATCAAAAGCGCATACACAAAAATGGGGTGTATTTCGTATTAATGCAATATGGAAATAAAAAGTAACCCGTAAAACTCTCATACATCTTGATTGAATCCATTACAATGAAAGTACTAATGAACATTGTATTAACTAGATTGTCACTGTTGTGTGAAAATCAATTCTTCAGGACTCAGTTTGGCTTTCGTTCTGGTAATGAGTGTAAGGATTATATATGTCATCAAATTTCTCCAAGAAAGTGCTTATGTCGACAATGGAAAATTTAATATCTGCTATGTACCTCACAGCAGCAGCACACGACCACATCAACCGAGACCCACCCTTTCTCATCTATTAGAAGAAACCCCTTTCCAAGCTCTGAATCCCCTGAATGTATAGATATGATAGAAGTACTATCTCGGTCCACAAAGGCGGTGACTCCAATACCTAAACATTCCAAACCTCATCTGGAGCACCTCATCTGGAGCACCTCATCTGGAGCACCTCATCTGGAGCAGTACAATGAAGAAATGAGAGCCCCAATCTATATAATGTGTTCCTAGATTATGCTCATACAGACACATACAGATGTGCACATATCACTTCCATAATCTATTCCAAATGAATTAACAAAGAGAAAACAATATTCGTGCTTCCTCTCCCGAAGCCAATCTATAGAGCATGATATAGGCATTCATTGTGAGGACAAGAATAATCTTGAACAAAAAATCAGGAACACCTTTTTTCGAACCTCGTTACAAACAATGAAATTTATCAGATAACAGAAGCAAAACTACTTGAGGACTTTCAACAGCAGCAAAAAGATACAGTTAGATAATTAATATTCTTGTGATTCTTATGAAATAAAATTATTAAATAAATTATTCTAATAAAAACAAGGAAAAGGAACTCTTGTTTATATCAAGTTTAATATTATCTAAGGCTTATAAGCAAAATAGATGATTGATATATATATATATATATATATATATATATATATATATATATATATATATATATATATGCATGGTACTTAGTGGAAAGTGCTTAATATCTGTGATAGAGGTAAAATATTCACTTGTATGGATATTAGTTTGTAACCCTGTTGTCATAGTTTTTATTATTATTACCATCACCATCATTTTCATGGTTACCAAAACTATTATAATAATTACCACAGTCATTATTGTCATTTTTAGTCATTATTATATTATCGTTTCCATCATCATTAAGGCTAACGTTACCGTTTATCGTAACCAATAATACATCAATAATTATTATTAATTTACCAACAGGAATATCACAGTTATCATTACTATTAACATAATAACAATCGTCAATAATACACCAGCAGTTAGCGTTGCTAAAATACAAACACCATCGCCATCATGTCCAGAAACAGAACCCTACTTAACCAATGTTGTGATAGTGAACACAGACCAATGTGTGTAGGTACGCGTCTACATATGTGTGTGTATGCGTGAGGAAATGTGAGCTAACATGACGGCGCGGACAGCCGATCTGAAAAACGTCAAGACCACCCCTACCTTTTCCTTATTAAGAGAACATTGCTACATATGTAACGATACAGTCTCGACACCGAAATAGAAGGACAATTGCGAATATAAGTATGCTCGAACATGGATGTGTATATGCGCCTAATCTCAGCTTATTTATATAGGGTGTTTATACGAACTAAACTGCAAACGCCTGTATGTATGTGTGTCTATCTATGTGAGAGTGCCATCCCAAACAAAAAAAGAACATTACCCCTCCATCAAACACAAATAAGCATAAACAGATCCACTTTTTTAAAAAGTAAACCAGTTTGTATTATATATATATATATATATATATATATATATATATGTGTGTGTGTGTGTGTGTGTGTGTGTGTGTGTGTGCGCGCGTGTATGTATTTAAATAAAAAGAAAGAACAGTAAGATATATAATCCGGTGTTCTTATAGATATTTTATTTTACAAAATAGTGCTCAATGTAAATTTACAGAGACATTAATTATAATTAATTGATTTAAAAATATGTTTTTTTTTCATTTTAATTCTTCATGTTTCAAAATGGGAAAATAGAATTTATTTTTGCAATAATTAAAGACATTGTTCAATTCATCCTCAAGCGAATTTTGGAGTCTAAAATTGCTTTGAGGATGAAATGGAACTAATGTCTTTAATTTAATTGCAAAATTAAATTCGTGGCTTTTTAGCTTCCATTTTTGAAACATGGTTAGAACTGTGTAGCGGAAAAAAACATATTTTAAATCAATTAATTTATTATTATATATATATATATATATATATATATATATATATATATATATATATATTACAGGATATTATATCATATTCGAACATATGTACCCGCCACATCAATGCATCCATCGATACGTATCATAACATCTAATTTAGCCTGGTGGATGCATTGGTGTAATAGCTACATATGTTAGAATATAATATCCTATAATAAAGAATTATGTCTCTACTATTGTATCGAACCATATTTTTAAATTAATGTATGAACGTTTGAATTTATATTTAATTCGTTCTCATTTTATTTGTATATATATATATATATATATATATATATATATATATATATATATATATATGAGGAGGAAATGAAAACATATATGGAATATTGACTGAGTAGATACTTGACATGTTATCTATCAGAAAACCATTGACTTTATGACTGAAATTAGAGAGACGGGACTCTTCGGAAGCCGTCAATGGTTGTGCTAGCACGAAATCACAAGTCATCGTGCACTGGCTTTGTTCAACCTCTTGACAACGCCAATTATGCAATCTTTCCTTCGAAACAATAACGAGGTCGGCTCAGCAGATATACCACAGATGGATTTGGTCGTTGTTGAACAAACATAAATATGTCTGAGCAGGCACCTGTAACAGAGCTTGTCCAGCCTCCCTAGAAAAACGAAACGGAAACGAGTAGCCGGCCATTAGACACACACACACACACACAAACACACGCACGCGGATAGATAGATAGATAGATAGATAGATAGATAGATAGATAGATAGATAGATAGATAGATAATCACTTTTTTTGTTCTTATTATGTTAATCGTACGAGAACCTTGAAATTAAGAAATTAAGTAACATTGAGTGTATTAATATTTTTATTGTTATTTGAATTCATCTGAAAAGTTTTATTTAGTTATGTATCATTCTTTGATCGCTACAACAATCGTGATTGCTTAAAATGGCATGAAGTTTATTTGCAATGAAAACGCTAAGCGACGAATCTTGTTGGAATTCTACTTAGTTTATATACACTTCAGCAACTTTTTCATTTCCCCCAAAATATCATGTTGTCATTGGTATATCACCATGTTTGATAGAGAAGTAAATAGAAGAGTGCATATCTGCACCAAATACTCTCCCATCGCTATTTCCCAATCTCTCTATGAACTGTATAATTCTCCTTCTTATGAGTTAACAGCCATGCTTATCTAGGAAAAGTGTTTGAAATCTAATTTTTAAAACACTCATTATAATGTAGAAACATATATATATATATATATATATATATATATATATATATATATATATATATATAAAGTATCTTTCAGTGGTAAAGTGTAAACCGGGCCAGTACACCCTGTTCGACAAGCGCGAAGTTAATATTCTCTGAATCGTTCTTACGTAGGTATTTTTCTTGGTTGAAAATGACATAACGTCCCGAAAAACACACACTCCATCAATTACTGGAAGGCGCAAGCGAATAAAGGCTCTTTCCGTCACTGTAACTATTGTAATGTCCACTGAGACGCCTACAGGGAAGAACATATCAAATGTTGCTACACAAACTAATTACTCGACTGACTCGATGGCCGGCTGTTATTGCAACGCTCAGTGCCACTTGTAATATAAAGTTGAATAGATCACAGGGAAACTTCCTATGTGGTTCTTCCTCAATACGTCTTGGACAGAGTTATTTGTTTGAAGAGACACTAAGTTGATGTACATTTTTGTTGTGCGTTTCTTTTATCTTCTATATTTTCCCTCTGGTTTTATAGCTTTGGTCGTGACCAGGTGATACGTCACGCCATTTTACCTATTGTTGCCTTAGCATTTTTATTTTTTTATTTTTTAATGTCTCCACAGAGTAAGGTATCGCTGCGAGTACTTTACACTTGCGATATAACAGGAGTAAAATGTAAAGGACATCGGTGTTGAGTAATGGTTAACGAACTAGTCCGGTTGACCATTAATGCTGTAAAGTGAGTTCGATACTCCTTAGACGTCTCATGTTTGTGACCTTGTGCCAATTCTAAGCTTTGCTTAGCAAATAACAAATGCCGCCTCATCATGCCTTAATGGTCAGCAAGTTTGACTTATAGATCCTAACTGGGTGACCCAAAAGTTTAGGAAATAAAATGTAAACAGTTTAAGAAGTTCATATAGTTCGTAAGAGAATTTTTGTTGCTGCTTTATGAACCCAACGAAATTCGAACTCTGGCATGGAGAATTTCTCGGGGAGAATTTCTTGATCAGAATATTAGCGCCATGTAATCAGAATAAGTATAAAACCGCGAGGATCTTTGTCTGCCGGGATGATGAAGTAGTTTTATACATCTAATACCGGTCAATGGCATTTGCGTTGTAAAGTGAACATATTTTAGAATATTTACGTTACAAACATCCATATCTAAGGAAATTAATGCTATATAATCTTCTTAAACCTACAGGGGTCAAATAAATAATATCAACAACACTCTACCAGTTTCTGGTGCACCGGTGAATTCATATCTCAAATAATCTGCTCTCTCTCTCTCTCTCTCTCTCTCTCTCTAATTACTTGCTTCGAAAGCAATCAAGGCATCTTAGCTGGTTTTGATCACTAAAGTAAAAGCTCGCGCGTTTTATTTATTAAGATTTCTCGAGCAAGCAAGCTGATAGTCATAATACACTAAGTTTAAGATAAAAACGTGACGTCTTTTTCAAATGCGGGTATCTACTAAAAATGTTTGAACTAATAAAATGTCGGATTAAAAATAAATCAATTATATATATATGTATGTATGTATGTATGTATGTGTGTGTGTGTGTGTGTGTGTGTGTGTGTGTGTGTGTGTGTGTGTGTTAGTATGAAATTTATTGACATTTGAAAAAAAAGTATGTTTCGAAATTCATTATCGGATATTAGACATACTATCATGAACGCTTTCCAAATGTCAATAATATATATATATATATATATATATATATATATATATTATATTTTTATTATTAGGGATTATAATAAAAACATGTTGAAATCGCTATATAAAAGCTTTCGTGTTTCAATACTATTCTTGTAATTCTTCAGGCGATGGTAAATAACTGATGACTTATTCATTTTTTAAGGAAATTTAAAACCAAAGTGTTACTTCTTTTCAGAAAAAGGTGGCTACATAAGGTAAGAATTAAAAATAGACTTGTGGGTATGTCTTGATTAACTAATTAAATGTCTGATCTACGCTAAATAGAAAAGTAAGCAGGGTGGAGATGAGTGAGTTATAAACCTGAACATGTATATATATATATATATATATATATATATATATATATATATATATATATATATATATATATATATATATATGGGGCGGGGGTAAATTACTAATGTTTTATATAGTCAATTATTAATTTAAGGATGATTTTCGATATGCAAATTTGATTCGGCGAGCCTATTTCAAATTCTGGCCTAGTCAGTTTAATCCATTTTCCGAATATTCCGTTGAGAAATATTTGACTACATTTTTCTCACACTAGCTATGAGTTAAATAACAGAGTAAACTGGATTCCCTAGCCTTGAGTTGCAACTATTCTAATAGAAGTAAAATCTGAACTTTAAAGAAAGAAATGGAAACCACTCCACTATCATTCTCAATAATGTGTGATAAATTCATGGATAAGGAATCTATCGAGAGTGATTTTAGCCTACGTCTTAAAAGGAAATGCCATTTAAGAAAGAAATTTCTAATCCAAACTATGTACAAGGGCATTAAATTCACAATGCCTCAGCAATGGGGGGGGTCGCCCAGGGACTCTGAAGTTCAGTAGACGAATAAATTAGTCCGGAGATGAGATTGTTAAATATTGTGCCACTTTAGGCGTCAATTGTACATTGTGTATTTTCTATTTGAATCTCATGCTCTGATCACTTGTTACTCCTTGCCAACGACCTACGATCACTGATCGTCAACCTTTCAGGTTTCATTTTCCCAGATAACACAATAACAATTTGATAAGACACTTTAGTATTGTAGTTAACTTTCCCAGGCCGACTGACAATTCTCTTTTCCAACACTATGGAAGCCCAATTAGACGCAAATATTTCTTTGATCATACCGAAGGAATGTTTATTGTTTGTCGATATGGGTGTGTCTTTGAATTTCCTTCGTCTTTCTAATAAAATCAAAGTCCGTTCTCAGTGTTTCTTTTTTCTAGTCAAATTAGTTACTAATCAATGTTTTCTATTTTATAACATTTCTTTGATTACTCGAAATACTTTTTTACAATGTTTTATTTATTAAAATTAAAATCCATCTTTTTAATTTGATATTTATGATTGCCTTGTGCGAAGAAATTAATGTTTAATTCATTAGACTTAATTTACTGTTATTTGTAATTGTAGCATAAGAAAATACTTTTTTTCTCTTTATATACAAAAAAAACAATTTTTTTTTCTGACAAACAAATACTTGTTTGCCTTTATCGTCTTCTGAGCACGAGAAAGTGACATCGATGTTTTTACAAAACAATCGATTATGTCAAAAATAGTGGATCTTTTTAAATGCTATTTTATTACCAATTAATTATTCTACCTACTAACTCTATAACAACTACAGCCGAAAAGAATTTATTTAAACTCAACATAAAAATTTTCACAGCTACATTTGAAACAATCAAAGACTTAATCAATAAAAAAACAAAACAGCCAGCCAAAACTTGGAGGGGGAAATAACTCTATCAAATACATGAATTACCAGAATAAATAAATACATTGGAGAAACCTCAGGAATCTAAAAAAAAAAAGACTATATAAACACAAAAGGGTCATTTTAAAAAACAACACACAAAACGCAATTGTTGTTCACCATAACAAAACGGACCACAATTTTGACATATGGAATGTTACTTTCATTAAAAGAAAAAAGAAATCACTAAGACGAAAATGTTTGGAAAGTGCCTTGATCGCTAGTTCAGCCACGGTAAATTTGTGTCTAGGCTCTTATCACCATTTTTGGTAGATTTTCTATTGTCATAATATGGGATAGTCAGCGGCAAAGGTGATGGAGAGAAAAAGATAAAGAATACAAATGAAGTTAGCTAGGATAATAAAATACTTTCAAAAATTTCGAAACTACTAGCGTCTCTCGATTCGTGCGCATATGTAGACGTGACAACATCAACAAAGCCCAGTCCGATTTAATCCTAATTGATGAAACGCGTCATAAAAACTTATTTGTCCAATTTGTCATACTATTTTTCTAAATTACCAAGTAAATAAATTCCGACAAAAACATAACAGATACATAACTAGTTTTCCTAAAGTACTGAGATTAATTATTTGTATTTCCATTTTCTTCCGTGTATCGTAATATTTTAGGTTCTGAAAGAAAAGTTTTGGTCGATATATGTTTAAGACATTTTTGCATGTTGTATTCAATTTTAGCAATTTTGTTCCTTTTTTTTTTTCTTTCTCTTGCAACTTTTCATATTTACTATAAGAATAGTTCAGTTCGCAAGATCTCAAGACTTAAGAAAAGCTAAATAGCTAGAAAGACTTGGCTTTCTAGTTCTTGATGGCAACTAATCTAAAAGAAGGAAAAGTCATGAGAATTTACGGATAATAAAGACAAATCTGTGGAGAACCATGATCACGTCCGTCCTAAAAAGACGGGCATTTTAAAAATTATATCAAAATGAATTCAGAATAAATATGAATGATACATAAGCCGATATGTGAGGAAGATCTGAAGAGAGAAAAAAAGACACAGAGAGACTAGCATTTATGGAGGTATATTAAGTTATGGATCCTGCTGTGAGCGTTGGAAGAGGAATTGTATTTCAACCACTATTTCTCTTCCTTCTTCCTACACTTCCTAAGAATCCTTATTAACATAGGAAATTTACCTGACAATGCACTCCTTGTGACTTTGGATGTTTCGTCCTTATATTCTAACATTCCACATGAGGAGGGCATACTAGCCTGCAAGAATTTTTTGAACACCAGAGATTTCCCCGGGCACCAGATCCGAGATATTTCGAACCTTATACATTTCATACACCCACATAACTTCTAGTTCAATCAGCACCATTTTCTTCAAGTTAGAGGTACCTCACTGTGAACGAAAATGGCCTCCAGCTATGCT